TACAAAAAAATAGACTATTTATACACATATGGTAAGTATATAATCCACTCAGAGTCCAAACTGATCCACTTTTGTGTAAGTGATCTGGATACATAATTAATGTTTACTTTAAATTTATTTATTACAATGAAACATAAATAATTGAATTCATAGAAAATTATGTATACTTTTTTCACTCATGCAAAAAAAAAAAAAAAAAATATTGTAAAGAATAATTAAGAAAAAATTCGTCAAAGTAGATATCAAAAATGCTGAAATTTTTGGGCACCCTATATATGTACGTATATCGAGTGTCTGATGCTGGTTAGTGTCCTTGGGATCTCCACCATGACTCGAATCGAAAAGGAGCTGTAGGTGTACGACCCATGTCCGTGGCCCGACTGTGTACCTGTCGAGCTTACCATGCTCCATGGAGATATCGCTAGTGGAAAGTTTCGTCAGACGAAAGTAGCTTATTGTGCGCAGCGACTCAATACGACTAAATCGCGCTATCCATCGATGAATTTATCCAAACGAAAAGTGGAAACATCTGTTATTATTATAGTGGATAGTTTATCGTAGTTATCATAGAGGATGATATCGTATTGGTAAGTGGATCATTGATCGTGGATTATTAATCTCACAATTTAAATATAATAGAAAAAAAGGCAAAGTAGTAATCAAATAATCTGCTAATCATTTTGAAAGTTCATAGATATTTAAGCTAAGATTTATTATAGGGTATAAAATATATCGTTGGATGTGACTGGTGCTATACTTGATCAGCATGACTTAACTTCCTTTCATTATATCTTCTGTCTACAAAGTCCTACATTCCATTTTGCATGCCATGTCATTGGTCATGCTGATACGTTCACGCGCAAAGGGATGTACAATGATGCAGTTATCGATGCACGATCTTCTTGAATTGCAGGATGATCGACCATAATAGCTGTTATGAAACTATAAAAAAAATTAGACACTGTCTTTTTCGTTTAACGAGGAAACGAATCAATCGCGTGATTCAGTCGATCAACTCGATTATTCGGTTGTTGTTCTAACAATGATTATCAGTTGGCTCTCGATGCTTCTGTCAGAAGTATGATCGATGAAAGATCACGGACATATGATTATTAATTTTCGATTTTCCGCAATCATTATGCAGATTGTATTCAAAAAGGAAGGATTAAATACCAATATTTACAAATAATTTTAAAAGACACGTTTAATGTACACATTTTGATTATCTGCATAAAATGTTGGAGTTCTTTAAGAGTCGAACGTTTATTCCTTTAATTTATTCCTTCGTTATCTGTTAGTGCGAAAAACACATCCTGTGACGAATCAACCAATCGCATCCTTCTTTCGATTTTATGCCATTTATTTAATGAACTGGTTAGTTTTGGTTCCTGAAACCACCTGGAAGGTCATGTAAAGTGTCCACTCGCATATAAAGGCGCGAGAGCAGAATATAATTGAGATACAACGATTAAAAAACGTCTGTGGAAGAACGCCACGTTTTTTTTTTTTTTTTTTAGATCACCATGCATGATTTGCAATTCTTTGCACGTACATGAGTAAATCTGCTATATTTGCTATATTTGAGGACTTTTATACAAGCCCAGACATTAATTACTAATCGTTTTAATAATTTAATAATTTAATTGCTGTCTGACACTCGACAATTGCTGTTTTTCAATGATAATCGATACTTTTCGAAATATCTTTATAATCTTACGATACTTTTAATATTTTTATTATTAGTATCTTCATATCTTTATTTATATAAAAAAAAAAAAAAATTCCAAATTTGCTTAGTTAACGTAAATTTTCTACTTGTTCTTGCAATTAATGTGAAATAAGATTATTTACACATTCTGGCGCACTTATCGAGATTTAATTCATGGATGCATACATTACTTCCGGTAGGGGGAAAAAAAGTATTCAAAGCGTGACGCACCAGATACAATGACCAAGCTAGTAAATGTCACTTTCGCACTTCATAATTATACATACACAGGATCGTTTGCAAATCTGTTTTTCTGTCGATCAGAATTATTACTTATCTCAACTCGATTCAATTCAATTTAGTTTTTATCAATTTGTTATTAATTTTTCCTTTCTCCTATTTAGATTAATAAACATTGGACCTGTTAAAATATTCTACTAGTAATATAACTATCATATTGTTATATTGTTATATTATTATATTGCACGGTTACACGAATGAATTCTCGGTTCGCAATATGGCAGCGAGAAATCACCAGGGGGACTGACCCCATCAGAACAGAGATCGATGATCAAGGATGAATAATAATCTCTCGAACGAGCATCGATGATACTCGAGCTGGGTAAAAATTAAAAAAAAAAAAAAAGTCCTCCGTTTCTTCAAATTACGAGCCGCTTCTAACGAGGATGCATCGAGCGTGAATCTGACAGAGAAAGTTGTCTAGCATGATAATGGATTCTATTAAAGCTAACACGTATCTATGCTTCCGAGTCTTCTTCACGTACACTCTACATTCATTTACGTTTATTTAAAAATATCTATTCTATCACAGCAGTGATCCACGATATTTATGATTAACGTTTCCTTCACCAGGCGATCATATATCTTTACAAAACACTCGAAACGCACGAATACCATTTTTCATTTTATTTTCAGTGGCGAATGATCAGCCGTAAATTAAATTTAAAGCAACAAAACGTAGAAGAGGTTTCGTAGAAATCGACTGACGAGCTCGGCGAACATGGGCCGTGCAGCTTAAAAGGAGAAGCCAGAAGTGGAACGAAAATCACGAGCGTGATTTCGGACGACGTGCAAGTGGCTTATCGCCTTGGCAGCAGAGAATCACGTGCCTCCGTGTGCGTCTCTGAAAGCTCGGAAAAGCGTGACCGTGCGTTCGTTAGACGAAGAGAGAGAGAGAGA